CGGCGCCGAGAAGAACAGCTACCGTCGCACGGTGAACAGTTTCTCGCAGAGCGCCAGCAGCCTGTTCGGCGAGGACAACGTGCGCGTCGCTCAGAAGGTGGGCGCCGGGCCCGCGCACGCGGTCACCTTGCCCTGGCCGCCGCGCACCTGGCGCTCGGGCTGGCCTGGGCTTTGCGCGGCCTCCGAGGCGTGGGGACGGGATGACGGGTCAAGGGAGCTGTCCCCCTCCTGAGGCCCCCGTCCAGCCCGGGAGGGTTGGGTCTGGGCGGCCGGTTCTGGCGCGGGACTGGGGTGCAGGGCCTCAGGGTTCCCTCTCCTCTGCGCGACACTTCTCCTTGGACCTTGCCCCTTGGGGCGACGCGCCTGGGCCTTTCGCGGGTGGCGCTGACGCCGCCGCGCCTCCCATTCATTCATTCACACGTTTGCTGAGTACCTACTATGAGCCAGGCACAGTGCCCGCCGCCCGGGGACCTCCACGCCAGCGCCTTCTCCCCACGCTGCTGCACTCTCCCCGTCAGCCCCAGTTTCTTTTAGCCTCGCCCCCCGATCCACTTCCCAGAGCATCTTAGGACCTCCTCCTGCTTTCAAGATATCTGGGCTTATTTTTCCTTTACAGGAAAAGAAAGAGAGCAAGCAGTCTGCTCTGTTGCTATGACAACCTGGCAGAGTAGCCTTTCTGAGTGCCGGGCCTTTCGCATAGAATGTCTTGTTCACTTTGAGACTGACGCCCTGGGAATGGTGCTGGGAGGGAGTTCTCCCGCTGGTCCCCTAGAGCTGGGTGAGACAGGTGCGCCGTTCTCAGCCCGCGTCTGCCCGTCTGCCGAGTCGCTCCCCGGAAAGGGGCGGTAGCTGGGAACAGTAGCATGTGGTAATGCTGTTCCCTGCGAACAGCCCTGGCTGTTGCTTCTATTAATTCCTTTGTTCCACCCCAGCCCTCGGGTTTTCTGAGTTGAGGGAAGTTAGGTTCGAGTTCTGGCCCTACCACTTACAAGCTGGATGGCTTTAGACAAGTGGTTTCATTTCTTTGAGTCTCGGTTTCTCTAACTGTTCAGTGGGATAGTAGTCATTTTCCCTTCATTATTAGGTTATAATAACGAGTCCTTAGTACATTTCTCACCCAGAATTATTAGCTGTTAGTATTAATATTATTTCGTGGGTCAGGTGCAAGGCTTCATTGCTTAACCCAGCTGGTAGACTTTCAGGGTTTAAAAAAAGTTTGCTGGTCACTGAGATGGGGGCGGGGGCGGAGAACGGGAAAGAACATTAAAACCAAATCAGTTAGATGGTTTATTCTGACCGGGTGAAATGGAAGACGGGTTGATTTGTTAGGGAAACTGCAACTTCTGATGACTGATGTCCCTCTCCTATGGGTGAACATTTGGGCGCCTCTTGCGGAGGTTGTGAGTCTGCACCCTCATACTCGTGGGACAGTACAGTTCTGGCGGGGGAGAACTCTAGGTGGCCAAGCCGGGAGGAAGGAGCATGGCCGAACACCTGAATGCAGAAAGGTTGCCCTCAAGACCTCAGGGGCATCAAGGGTGTGTGCGCCTCTCTTATGCTACTGTTGCCCGAGCCATTTGGAAGCAGGAATAATTTGCTTTAGAGCAAAAGGAAGTCTGCCCACTTCGTGAGGATTAAGCATAAGGAACCCCTTGTCTCAACTGAGAACCTAAGTGAAGCTTCAAAAGGTCAATGGAGACAAAATGCAAAGGGGATATTTAAGAGCTTAATTTTGGGGTTGGTATCGAGATCTGTATTCTGGCAAAGAATCTGAGAAATGGGGTCAGAACTCTTCCTGGGGTAAACCAGGGTTTTTGCCTGTCAGTAGAGATGATGATAGTATCTGCCTAAAATATGCTATGTGCTTTTATAGATCTAGTAACTTATTTAATCCTTAGAATAACCCTTTGAGATAGGTGTTCTTGTTTCCATTTTACAGATAAGGAAACTGAGGCACAGAGAGGTGCCTCACTCACTTCCTGCCTCGTAACACCTTGTTGTTGTGTGCCATGGAGTCAATTCCGAAGGTGTTTAAAGAAACGCCCATATTCTAATCTAGGATTGTCTAGAATAAACCATAAACTTCTGATTTGGAGCTTGGGCCCTGGTGTCCAGCAGATGTGGGTTCTAATTCCAGCTGTTCTTCTCACTAGCTTTGTGACCTTGGGTCAGTTGTTGTATCTCTCTGTGCCTCATTTGTACAAAGGAGATAATTGGAGGGATGAAATTTGCGATTAGTTCGCTTGCACAATACTAGGCCCTGAATAAGCAGTTAATAAGTGGTAGAAGATGTGCGTACGACAGGGTTAGTCTGGAAGGAGAGTGGTACACTCATTCAGTTAAAGATCGTTGAGTAACTTGTGTACCAATGTTCATAGCAGCTCTATTCACAAGAGTCAAAAGGTAGAAACAGCCCAGATGTCCTTCACTTGGCAAAGGGGTAAACAAATTGTGGTCTGTTCATACAATGGAATGTTATTTGGCCATAAGAAGGAAGGAACTTTTAAAACCTTATGATCAGTGAAAGAAGCCAGTCACAAAAGGCCACATATTGTATGATTCCATTTATATGAAATGTCCAGAATAGGCAAATCATAGAGAAAGAAGGTAGACTAGTTGCTAGGGGCTGGGAGAAGGGGGAACGGGGAGTGGTTGTTCACGGGCACGAGGTTTCTGTTAAAGTTCTGGAACTAGATAGTGGGGATAATTCTACAACATTGTGAATGTACTTAAGATACCACTGAGTTGTACACCTTATAATGGTGAAAACGGTAAGTTTTATGTTATGGGTATTTTACCCCAATTAAAAAAACATTTAGCACGTACTGTATGAGGAGCGAGGAGGCCTGGTGGCGCAGTGGTTCAGTTCTCGGCTGCTAACTGAAAGGTTAGCAGTTTGAACCCACCAGTGGCTCTGTGGGAGAAAAAACCTGGCTATCTGCTTCTGTAAAGATTTCAGCCTAGGAAACCCTAGGGGACAGTTCTCCTCTGTCCTGTAGGGTCACTATGAGTTGGAATCCACTCAACGGCAGTGGGTTTGGGTTTTGTATGAGGAGAACAAGCCAGACAAATTGTTCCCCCAGGGAGCTTTCATGGTGGGGCAGGGGACAGACGGTAAGTAAGGAAAAAAATAAATGAAACAAGATTATTTCAGAGTGATAGGTGCTATAAAGGAAATAAAATAGTGATGTAATAATAATGGTAGATAATTTTTGCTTAAGTTTATTTCAGGCCTGCTTCTGTTCTGAGAGGGAGGTACTTTTATTACCACCCCCGTTGTACAGATGAGGAAATTGAGACATAGAATCTCTTGCCCACAGTGCAGTTAATCGGTGGTAGAGAGGTGGGAGGGCACATGCTCACAATTTCTGTAGAGTTGAGAATAACGAGGATAGAGTGGCCAGGGCAGTGAGCTAGCCCTGAATGATAGCTGGAGCCAGCCAGGGGAACAGCATTCCAGGCAGGGGGAACAGCAAGAGCAAACGCCCTGTGGTGGGAATGCACTTGGTGTACTTGAGGGCAGAGAGAGGGTGGGATTATGGTTGGGCAGAGTGCAAAGGATAGAGAGATGGCCAGATGTGGATAGAACAAAACAACAGATGATGACACAAGAAAATCATTGCAAAGAGCCAAAAGGCACGGGGCCGGAGGAAGAAGAGACAGGTCCAGGTGTACTGCTTAGAGGAATCAGGGCAGGGAGCATGGAGGAAGGGCCAGGAGTTGGGTCCAGGAAGATGGGTGGACAGGGAAGAAGGGAAGGACTGAGGTATTGGGACGAGGTTTAGAGGGGGCTGCATTGCAGTGTATCTGGATCTTGGGGGGAGTATCGGGGAGCACAGGGAAAGAAAAGCTGGCTTTTTTTTTTTTCCCTTGCTCCTTTGCTTTTGTTTTAGCTCTTTTTTTAGTAGGTATTTTTTAATTAGGTCATACTTGCATGGACTATAACTTCAAGTAGTCCAAAAGGTTCAAAAATAAATCAGCTTCCCATGTCCCATTGCTCTTCCCAAACCAAGCAAAGATTCTGAGCGTATATAAGCATAAAGATAGATAGAATCTGCCCCTCCCCTTGTTGTCGACTTTTTGTTTGTTTTGCGTTATACACACTCTTTTACACTTTTTTAAAATTCATGAGTTTTGGAGATTAGACCTTATCGGTAATAAAGCTTTGCTTCATTTTTTTGAAGGGCTGCGAAGAGGAGGGTAATGTGAGGATGCACTAGAATGTGTTCAACCCGCCCCTGATGGCTGAAAGACCAATCGCTAGAAAGGGACATCGTGATTGGTAAAGTAGGGGGTCCACGAAAATGAGGCAAACCCTCCGTGAGATGGACTCACACATACCCACAATCGTGAGGAGGCACAGAACCGGGCAGCTTTTCGTTCTGTGATCTGTAAGGTCTCTGTGAGTCGGAGTTGACTCCACAGCACCTAATGACAACAGCAGTGGTTGGCATTTTGCTAGCCTCCTGTCTTTCGCAGTTCCAAACACGGCTGCAACAAAGGTCTTCCTATACATATACTCTTGTGTGTGTGCACCTAGACAAGTTCATGGAAATTCTTAGGAGATGGAATTGCAAAGTCAAAGGGTCTGTGTTTTCTTTTTATTGTGGTAAAATATATATCACCAAAAAATGCTGTTTCAACCACTCTTAAGTGTCCGATTCAGTGACATTAATTACGTTCACGTGTTGTGCAGCTGTCACTGCTGTTTCCAAAAGTTTTTGATCGTCCCAAACAGAAACTCCGTACTTGTTAAGTAATAACTTTCTACTGCCCTCTTCCCCAGCCCCTGGAAACCACTGATAAATTTTTGCTTCGATACATTTCCTGTTCTAGATCTTTCACATCAGTGGGATCATGCAGTATTGGTCCTTCTGTGACTGACTGACTGCACTCAGCATGATGTTTTCAAGGTTCGTCCATATTGTAGGACTTGTCTCAGGACCTCATGTCCCTTCATGGCTGAATAATATTCCGTCCCATATTTAGGCCACATTTTGTTTATCCATTCATCCATTCGTGATCTGCATATTTTTAGAATTTCTGCTTGAACTATAATTTGTGCACTTTTCTGCATGTACAAGTGCGCAGCATCATGAGACACGTGGATGTGCTCAGTTGGAGACTGTTTACACTATCAGATTACAGTTCAGGTGGACATTCTCAAACCCATGTGACCAGCATCAGGTCCAGAAATGGATTCTCCCAGCCCCTAGAAGCCCCTGAGTGGCCCTCACAGTCACTGTTGTCCTCTCGCTTTCTTTGGAGGCAGGGGTGGGGGGGATGTTTCTAATTTATGACATGGACATTTTTGAAGAATTCAGACCATTTGTCTTTGTTTTCCTTTTTGGTAACAGCTTTATTGAGATAATTCACATACTATACAATTCATGCATTTAAAGTGTATAATTCAGTGACTTTAGGATTTTTAGAGAGTTGTGCAAACATCACCACAATCAATTTTAGAACATTAATCACTTCAAAAATAAACTCCATACCCATCAGCAGTCATTCTCCAACCCCTGCCCCCAGCCCCTGGCAACCACTAATCTGCTTTCTGTCTTTATGGATTTGCCTGTTCTGGACAGTTCATGGAAATGGAATCTTATAATATGTGTCCTTTGTGCCTGGCTTCTTCCATTAGCATGATGCCTTCAAGGTTCATTCATGCTGTAGCATGTATCGGGACTTCATTGCTCTTTATGGCTACATAATATTCCATTGTGTGGATGTACCACACGGTGTTATCCACTCATCCGCTGATGTCTGCCTGGTCTTCAGATATGCTGGTTTCCTTAGTGCATGCAGCTTGACAATTTCCTAAGCCTAAAAGGATGGTGACCTTGAAGGGTCTTGGGGTCAGTGCTTCTGTCAGGGGATCAGGGTCAGTAGGGGTTTTGAACATTCACCGTGTGCTCAAACAGAATGAGCATTTCACATGATTCTCCCCTCTAACATTCACAATTACCAGATGAGGTAGGTACCATTTTCCCCATCAGTTAGCTGAAGAAATAGAGCCCCAGAGAGCTTGTTAGTTATCATTGAGATGTCTCCAACCCATAGGGACTCTGTACAACAGAAGGAAACAGTGTGCTGTCCTGGGCCATCCTCAGAGTCGTCATTATGCTTGAGCCCATCGTTGCAGCCACTGTATCAGTCCATCTCATGCTTTACCAAGCATCATGTCTTTCTCTGGCGATTAGTCTCTCCTGATGACATGTCCAAAGTAAGTGAGTTAAAGTCTTGCCATCCTCGATTTTAAGGAGCTTTCTGGCTGTACTTCCTTTGAGACTGATTTGTTTGTTCTTCTGGCTGCCCATGGTCTACTCAATATTCTTTGACAACACCACAATTAAGAATATTTATAAAATGCCCAAGGCTGCCCAGCTAGTATGTAGCAGAGCTGGGATTTTAACCCAGGCAGTTGGACTCCCAGGCCTGCCCTTTCTGAACAGTGCCAGCACAGTGGTTATTGGGATCCCCTCTGCTCTTAGTTGCTAATTAAACCCTGCTTATCCTTTCTCCCCTCTCCTGGAGGAACTGTCCAGCCAGGATATCCCATTAAAGTGGTGCCACCCTGTCTAGGGTCTTAAAAGCTAGCGAGCGGCCGTCTAAGATGCATCAGTTGGTCCCAACCCACCTGGAGCAAAGGAGAATGAAGAACACCAAGGACACAAAGTATTAGCCCAAGAGACAGAAAGGGCCGCATAAACTAGAGACTCCATCAGCTTGAGACCGGAAGAACTAGATGGTGCCCGACTACCACCAGGGAACGTCCTGACAGGGAACACAACAGAGAGTCCCTGACGGAGAAGAGTAGGCTGCAGAAATCAAATTCAAAAAGAAAGACCAGACTTAATGGTTTAACTAAGACATGGCCCCTGGACTCTCCGTTAGCCCAGAACTGAAACCATTCCTGAAGCCAACTCTTCAGACAAGGATTAGACTGGACTATGGGACATAAAATGATACTCGTGAAGAGGGTGCTTCTTAGCTCAAGTAGATACATGAGACTAAATGAGCAGCTCCTGTCTGGAGGTGAGATGAGAAGGCAGAGAGGGTCAGGAGCTGGTTGAATGGACACGGCAGTACGGGGTGGAAAGGAGGAGTGTGCTGTCACAGTATAGGGAGAGCAACTATGTATGTATAAATTTTTGTATGAGAGACTAACGAATTGTAAACCTTCACTAAAAGTGCAACAATTAAAAAAATAAAGTAGTGCCACCAATTCATCTCCAGGAGTGTCCTCACCCATAGCCAAATGGCAAGCTCAGGGATTTCCTTGCGGCACTGGCCATAATAGGAAAAAAAAAAAAAAGGCCACTGCTGTTGACTCGATTCTGACCCACAGCAACCCTATAGGACAGAGTAGGACTGCCTCATAGGGTTTCCAAAGCTGTAATCTTTACAGAAGCAGACTGCCACGTCTTCCTTCTGCGGAGCAGCTGGTGGGTTCAAACTGCCAACTTTTCGGTTAGCAGCCGAGCACTTAACCACTGCACCACTAGGGCTCCTTTGGCCATAATAGCAGAGGGTTGGAAATGACCTACTTGTCCATCAGTAGGGAATTGATTAAACAGCTGCAGACAGCATCATTTTAGAATGAGGCAGGTCTCTACAGTCTGAGGTTGAGCGGTCTCCCAGAGGGAGTGTTAAATGGGGAAAGCTGCAGAATGGTACACGTATGCTGCCATTTGTGGGAAAAAATATGTACGTGCTGTTTATGTGCACGGCGCGTCTAAGGGAGGATGCATCAGAAGCGGGTACTGGGGGTTGCCTCCAGGAGGGAACATAGTGGCTGGGGAATGAGCTGGGAGGCTCCCTTTTCACTGCATACCCATTTGTGGTTTTTGAATTTTATACCTTGTTATATTAGTTTCCTAGAGCAACCTTAACAAAGTACCACTAACTGGGTGGCTTATAAGAACAAATTTATTGTCTCACAGTGTAGGCTAGGAGTCTGATGCAGGGTGTGAGCGGGGCCATGCTCCCTCCAAGGCTCTAGGGGAAGATCCCTTACCCCCAGGCTTGTGGCAGCGCCATTCCAGTCCCCCCACTATGGCCATATGGTTGTCTTCCCTCTGTGTGTCTCCTCTTTTCTAAGGACACCAGTCATACAGGATTGGGACCCACCCTACTCTAAAATGAGCGCGTTAACCTAATTGAGACCATCTGCAAAGACCCTGTTTGCAAACAAAGTCATGTTCATAGGCTAGGATGTCACTGTTTTCTCAGGACACAATTCAGTCCATAACATGTTCGTATCTTATTCAAAAAAACGAGATAAAATGAGGCTGTGCCTCATGTTTCTCTAGCACCAGTCTGCAAACCAACCAGTTGCCACTGAATTGACTCCAACTCATGGTGACCTCATGTGTCAGAGTAGAACCGTGCTCCGTAGGGTTTTCAGTGGCTGGTTTTTTGGAAGTCGATCGCCAGGGCTTTCTTCCGAGGCTCCTCTGGGTGGATTAGAACCTCCAGCCTTTTAATCAGTAGCCAAACGCTTAACCATTTGCCCCACCAGGGACTCCTTTCTCTAATACTGTGGTCTCAAACTGTGCTGTGTCTTAGAATCACTGGCCTCACAGGCCAGTTTGTTGAAGTTGGCCAGGGTGTTCCCAAGTTCCCGGGAGATCGTGATGTGCACGTGTGTGAGATCCACTGTTCTCACCCTTTGGAGCTGCTCCCTTGTGGAGCCCGGACCTCCAGGTGAAGTAGGTTGGGGGCGGGAACTCCCACTCCTTCAAAAACAAACCAGACAGAGGGAAGCAGAGCAATCAGAGCGGAAGAACCACGGGAGAGGTTGGAACTAGAACGAACAGGTCCGCAGGGCTCTCATCGCCACAGATACGTGCTAGGCCTGCAGGAGGCAGGGTTTGTTTTACCCAGTTTCTCTCCATTCTCAGCCCACCATTAGTGCCGAGTGCAAGCCAGTCCCTTGTGCTCCCAGACCCCTCCTTGGGTGGCATTCATCCTTGGCTTCCTTTTTTCTATTTTTGAGCAGTTTTAGGTTTATAGAACAATTGCACAGGAAGTGTAGAGTTCCCACCTACTCCCTTGCCCCCTTGCACACAGGTTTCCCTGTTATTAACCAATTGCCGTCAAGTTAATTCCGACTCCTGGTGTCCCCATCCATGTGTGTTAGAGTAGAACTGTGCTCTGTAGGGTTTTCAGTGGCTGATTTTTTGGAAGTAGACTGCCAGGCCTTTCTTCCAGGGTGCCTCTTGGTGGGCTCAAACTTCCACCCTTTCATTGAGCAGCTGAGTGCGTTAACCATTTATACTACCCAGGGACACCTTCCCTTGTTGTTAACATCATACTTTAGTAGGGGACATTTGTTACAATCAGTGCATCGGTGTTGATGTGTTGTTATCATTAACTCATGTCCATAGTTTACATTAGGGCTCACTCTGTGTTTATAGTCCTAATGCTTTTGACAAATGCATAATGTCACATGTACACCATGACAGTGTCATGCAGAATACTTTCACTGCCCTGAATATGCCCTGTGCCCCACCACCTCAGTTTGCTGTTTTTTCCCGCTGATGCGTAAACCATGAGCCCATGTCTCCGTGCCTCACTGTTCCAGGTAGACAGTGGATGCTGGCTGATCTGACAGTGGCTGTTTTCTTGTCTCTGCAGTTCTTGACCAAGCTGACCGAGAGGTTCGTGTTGGGAGTGGATATGTTCATAGAAGTGCTGTGGAAAGTTTGGACGGAGGTTTTGGGTGTTTTTGGACTTGACGGTAGGTGTGTGGGGCATTTGTGTAAGACACTTTAAACAGTGGTTCTCAAAGCGTGGAGCCAGTGCTTACAGTAGGGGGTACATGAGATTTAGGGGGGAAGGGAGTATCCGAATGAGCATTTTTTGTTTTAATGGTTACATATATAAATGGCACATCAAAGCTGAGATTTCACATGTACTGTTCAGAATAAATGGAGCCCTGGTAGCGCAGTGGTTAAGCACTCAGCTGCTCACCGAAAGGTCGGTGGTTCAAACCCACCTTGGAAACCCTGTGGGGGCAGTTCTGTTTTATCCTGTAGGGTCGCTATGACTCAGAATCAACTCGGATAGGATAAGGTGAAAGTAGGTAGTGCCGACTTGTGGGTTTTGAGGGAAACCACACGGACCTGCTTTATTGGGATCCACTCTGGTTATTTAAGCAGAAAGGGATTTAATACAGAGAACGAGGCTCTCCCAGATTTTATCTAACAGACTGCCCTGTAGTGTGCTGGAGCAGGCAGGATCCCCCCCCGCATCCCAGCCCCTGTACCCCCTCCATTATTGGGGTCAAGACCACTCTCCCCACGTGGCCCCGTGCAGAAAAAATCCCCAGGTGATCACTCTGTTCTGCCTCCACCACCTGGTCCGGGCTGCCGGCTCTCTTGCCGAGAAGTCCGCGAAGTCCCAAGACCACCCTAAGGTTCCATGATTCCCTAGGAGGACTCCTAGGGCTCCGCATCTAGTTATACTCACAGCTGTGATTTATTACAGCAAAAGGACACAAAGCAAAATCAGCAGAGGGGTGAGGTCTGGGGAAACCAGGTGCAACTTCCAAGAGTTCTCTGGGAAGTGTGTCACAGGGGACACGCTTGATTCCCGCAGCAACAAGTATGATGACACATGTGAGGTGTCATCTGCCGGGAAAGCCTGTTGGAGACTCAGCACCCAGGGTTTGTACTGGGGCGGGTCACATAGGTCCCCTCTGCCTGGCACGTTCCAGCATTCCGGACCCCCCGAAGGAAAGCAGGTGTCCAGCATCAACCACACTGTTTGCACCAATAGTCTAGGCACGGGGAGCCGCTCTTATCAGGGGATGGTGGGAACCCTCCTGAAATCCACATTCCCAGACCCGGCCCAGGGCCCACTTTGGAAGCAGGCCTTTCTAAGGATGGCATTCTCTTGCCTACTGTGTGGGTTTCCTCTCTTGCCCCCAGCAGTCCCTTTTCAATAAATCAGCCAGAGTAATTTTTTAAAAATATATTTCAGGTCATGTCACTCTCCTGCTTAGGTGACTTCTTGCTGCACTGGGAGTGAATTCAGCGTCCACACTGTAGACCATGAAACCCTGAGGATCTGCCCTGCTTCCCGCCCTGACCATGTCCCACATTCTCCCCCGCTGCTTGCCAGTCCCCCTGGGAAACAGAAGTTTAATCCACAGCAGTGGCTGAGCTGATCCTGACCTCACATGTAAAGCAGCCTCCCGGTTTATCCTCACCCAGCCCTTCGGTCTTTCCCCTTGTGCCACTTGTCGTCAGCTGTGACATGCCATTTGTTCCCTTTTTTGCGTCCCTTCTGGCTGGTCAGCTCCCCATGCGGGGGCCTCCTCCGTCTTCTGGCTGCATCCTTGGCCCCGCCTCTGGACCAGGCACAAGAGGCCCTTGGCAAGAAAGAGTGGGACAACTGCTGGCCCCGTGCTTAGCCACTGTTGTGGGTGAAAACTGCTTACCAAAAAGACACGCTGACATCCTAACCCTGGTACCTGTGAACATGACTTTGTTTGGAAATAGAGTCTTTGCAGACGTGATCAAGTGAGCTCATGCTGGAGTAGTGGGAATCGACTCCATGACCCTGTATGACAGAGTAGAGGTGCCCCACAAGGTTTTCTGGGCTGTAATCTTTATGGGAGCAGATTCCTGGGTCTTTGTCCCACAGAGCAGCTAGGTGGGTTCGAAACACCAATCTTTCAGTTAGCAGCTGAGTATTCAGCGTTGTGCCGCCAGGGCTCCTTCAGTGGAGTAGAGTGGGCCCTGAATCCATTGACTCGCGTCCTTTTAAGAGGGAAATTTGGACGGAAAGAGACACAGAGGACAAGGCCATGTGAGGATGGAGGCAGAGGGTAGAGGGATGTAGCCACCAGACGCTGGAAGAACCTTCAGAGGGAGCACGGCCCGGCCAGCACCTCGGTTTGCGGCTCTGACCTCTAGATCTGTGAGAGAATCATTTCTGTTGTTTGAAGCCACCCAGTTAGTGGTGATTTGCTACGGTGGCCCCAGGACGTGTATACTGTCACTTCATTGCAGCAGCTCTCGGAATCCTGTCATCGGCCCTGTGAGCCCACTTTACAGATTGGAGACCCGGACTCTGAGGTCGAGCTGCTCACCTCAGACCACCACAGGCGAGGCGCACAGATTCAAGCCTTCTGTGGACTACTCTGCCACTTGGAACCTGTCTCCTGTCTCCTGTCTGGAATCACTGAGTTCAACCTTTGAGAGGCTTTAGGCTGCCTTTCAGGGTGCCTCACTGGTCAGGCGAATACACAAGGCTGCAGCGAGGCTCTTAGAGCGAGGCCTTGCAGCCCGCCGTCTCCCGAGGACGCTGCCAGATCCCCTGAGACTTGCTAAGTCAGTGCGTAACCCCGATACAGCAATTTCATGCAATCCGCTCAGAATCTCTGTTTGCCACCTGCCCAGGGTGTTGGTCTCCATGTTTCTGTTCCTAACCAGCAAGCTTCGAAGAAACAAACTGATTGCGGGAAATTGCAGGCAGCTTGGAGGGAAGCACTGCAGTTGTGGGGGCAGCCCCCTAATCCCACAGATGAGGATGGGAACAGAGCTGTCGCTCAGCGGGGCTGGAGACTGCAGATGCTCACACTCACCATGACAACAGCCCGCATGGCTGGAGGTGAAAAGAACTCACTTCCAGGTCGTGGCATTTCCCATTTTATTTGATGCTGTAAGCGTCAAAGTATCTGAAGGCCTTTGGAATTTGCTTCTTATGCTTAGAAGTTTGAGTGTGCAAAAACTTCCCAGGAAACCGTATGCCAAGGTTAGATATTCTGGTATAAAATGTTTCTGTGAGCATGATCCTCGAATTTTCTTCTTCAGAATTTTTCAGTGGGCTGGTCATCGTGGAGACTCCTCAGCCCAGTGCAGTCCAATAGAAATACAATGTGGGCCGTGTAGATAATTTAAAGTTTGTCCTACTGTGGAGGCTTGCGTGATGCTGTGATGCTGGAAGCTATGCCACTGCTATTTCAAATACCAGCAGGGCCACCCAATGGTGGACAGGTTTCAGCAGAGCTTCCAGATTAAGACAGACTAGGAAGAAAGGCCTGGCAATCTATATTGCAAAATAGAAAACCAAAAAAACCCTAACCCATTTCTGTCGAGTTGATTCTGACTCATAGCAACCCCTGGACAGAGTAGAACTGCCTCCTAGGGTTTCCAAGGAGTGGCTGGTGGGTTCGAACTGCCAACCTTTTGGTTAGCAGCCGTAGCTCTTAACTACTACGCCAGCAGGGTTTCCGCATAGGGTCGCTATGAGTCGGAATTGACTCCACAGCAACAAATTCCAGACTTAGCCAATGAAAACCTTATGGATCACAAGAGAATGGTGTCTGACTGGCTTGCTTTGGACATGACATCAGGAGGAGGGCATTATGTTTGGTGAAGTAGAAGGCCAGCGAGAGTGAGGGACATGCTGGTGAACATGCTCGAGCGTGCGGGTGATGGTGAGGATGACGCGGGACCCGGCAGTGTTTTGCTCTGTGGCACGTAAGATTTCCGTGAGTTGGAGTGGACTCCGTGGCAGTTATCTGTCTGTCTCTCTACCAGCCATAGTTTAAAAAGTAAAAAGCAACAGGTGAATTAATGTTGATGAGGTATTTTATTTATCCCAGTATATTCAAAATATTATCATTTCATTGTGTAATCCATATAAAAAATTAACGTGATTTCTTACCTTCTTTGGCTCCTGAGTCTTTGAATCCGGTGTGGTGTTTACACCTACAGCACCTCGCCGTATTTCACGTGCTCTCGTGGCTGCTGTGTTAGACAGTGCAACCTCAGCCCCACTCCAGAGCTCCTGAATCCGAAACCATTTCCTAGGAGACAGAGCACTTGTCCGGGAGTCAGAAGGCTGGAGTTCCTTCTCTGACCTTGATCAAGGTGTCTGCTTTCCCCGAGGCCCTGACTGAGCAGAGGGGACTGAAATCCCAGCTCTGCCCTGTCCTGGTTGTGGTGCCCTGGGGCTGCCACTCACCTGTCTGTGCCTCAGTGACCTTGCCTGAACAGAGCATGGAGACCGAACGATAATGCCTGCAAAGTGCTCCGAGCAGTGCTTGGCCCTCAGTCCATCATAAACTCTCAATGCTTTATGAAGAGGCTCCGCTCCAGGAAATAAATCTGGGGCTCATCTGATCTGGATTCTCTCCTGTGAGGGCCACTGGTGGCCAGCTGAGTCCAGAGCCAGCTTCCCCTACTCCGCCTGGGAGGACTTGATGCGACATGCAGTGACATAAATACTGCCCTGTGTGGAGAAGCGAGCTGGCCAGCAATACACTGACTTTGCTTGCTTGCTTGCTTTTGCTTTTTTTTTTTTTTTTTTCCTTAACCTCTGTTTTTATTGAGGTGAAATTCAGATAACATAAAAGTGACCATTCTGAAGTGCACGATGCAGTGGTATTAAGTACACTGACCGTGTGAGGCAACCGTCACCGCCATCTAGTTCCAGAGCTGCTTCATCGCGCCAGCTCTGTATCCGTTAAGCGGTGGCTCCCGATTCCCCTTTCCCTCCAGCCCCCGGCAACCACCACTCTGCTTTCTGCCTCTGTAGATTTGCCTGTTCTGGGCATGGCTTCTTCCAGGTAGCATAATGTTTTTGAGTTTCCTCCATGTTATAGCATAAGTCAGTCCTTCATTCCTTTTTTTTTTAATTGTAGTAAGATGTAACAAAACTTGCCATTTTAACCAAGTGTATGATTCAGTGGCATTAATATACTCAGTGTTGTGCAGCCGTCACCACTGTTATTTCCAAAGCTTTATCATCACCCCAAACAGAAACTCAGGACCCATGAAGCCATAACTCCTCGTTCCCTCCTCCTCCAGCGCCTGGTAACCGCTAACAAACTCTGGTCTCTATGCGTCTGCCTCTTCTGGATATTTCATATAAGTGGGATCGGACAGTATTTGTCCTTTTATGTCTGACACATTTCACTCAGAAAAATGTTTTAAGGTTCATCCATGTTGTGGCATGTGTGAGAACTTCATTCCTCTTTATGGCTGAGTAATCGTGTTTATTTATTTGTTCATAGATGGACAATGATGGGGTTGTTCCTGCCTTTTGGCTATTGTGAATAGTGCCGCAGTGAACACTGGTGTGCAACTAAATTCCTTTTTGTGGAATTTTATTTGGCCGTAGAAGGGAATGAAGTCCTAAGACACATTTCAACGTAGATGAACCTACAAAGAAAGGCCTTTTACGCCCAGTGAGTAAGCTGAGTTGCCCAACACCAGGTTGTGGAGAGACCCCTGACCCGAGTAACCTGCCTGTTCCTCTTTCCCACCTGCAGTCGCTAACCTGTCGCAGTACTTCAGCCCAGCCTCGGTGGCCAACAGCCCGGCCCGTGCCCTCCTGGCGATTGGCGTCGTCCTCCTGGCCTACTGGTTCCTGTCCTTCGTCCTGGGCCTCGCCTTCAGCATCCTGCACATGCTCTTTGGCCGCTGCTTCTGGTTCGTGCGGGTCCTGCTCTTCTCCATGTCGTGCGTGTATGTCCTGCAGAAGTACGAGAGCGAGCCCGAGAACGCCGTGCTGCCCCTGTGCCTCGTGGTGGCCGTGTACTTCATGACTGGGCCCATGGGCTTCTACTGGCGCGGCAGCCCCAGCAGCCCGAGCGTGGAGGAGAAGTTGGAGCACCTGGAGAGCCAGGTCAGACTGCTCAACATTCGCCTCAACAGGGTGCTGGAGAGCCTTGACTGCTCCAATGACAAATGACGGTTCCCCGGCGGCCAGCCAGGCCCCCTGTCACCAGCGCACGCCCTTGGAAAAAGACAAAGAAGAAAGAAAGGAAGAAAGGACCCCAAACAATCTCAATAAACATTACTGAGCAACAGAGCGGCACTTTGTGAGGGTGTTTCTGACCCCGTGTCGACTCCTGGGACGTGTCCCAAGAAGCGTTAACAGATCATCTATGTAGAACTGTGCCCTAAGTGTCATTAGTGGAGAGAATATTTTTTAAACAAAAGATATAATAACCATATTAGCTGTACAGTAAGAAGTTTATCTGTGCATAGAGCATAACGTTAATTTTTTCAAGCATTTAAATACATCTTTTGTAAGGTTTTTAATAAAGGCAGATGGAGTCGAGTTTATTAAAACTTTAAATCGAGAGGAAGGATATGCTAATAGGACATTTTAGGAAAGTTTAAATGCAGGCGTTTGATTTTGCAGCTTAGGAATCGGTGGGTAAGATCTGTGTGTGTTCTACCTGTGTTCCAAAACCCTGAGCTTGATTTTATTTTAGTTTGATTGGTGTTGACTTAGCGAATGAATGTTGTCACTCCTAACTGTGGACAGTCAGATTTGAGGATGAAATGAAACCTCTTTTGGATCCTAGGGAACCCAGCAAAGCCCCCATCGGTTACAGTTCCAGATGAAGAAATCATTCTTTGTAGAAAACCTGAGATATCTTTCCCCATCTGTACTGTGAGTCAGAATCGACTCAATGGCAACAGGTTTGATTTGGTTTTGCTACTTTGCTGTATTTGTGCCTCAACACTTTGTACAAAGCAAATGCCAGGACTGGGCAAAGACATGTCTTTGGGGGTTGATGACCAGACTTCCTGGGTAAGCACTGAGCTCAAGAATCTACCTGAGTCCCCAGTTTCACTCACTGAGCTGGCTAGGCCTCCATAGGGAAGGAATACTGTCAAGGTGTTTTTTGTTTTTTTTTTTTTAATTTTGGTGTTGGTTTACTCAGGACCACAGAAGGAAAACAAACAGTAGCAGCTAATCACATTTTAAGTCTGTTGTTGCTTATAAAGCATTCTCAGGAACAATAGGCAGAAATAAACAAGCCATCCAAAAGATCTGCATTTTTTTCCCCTGGATTTTTTACGAAACACTGGGGAGGTGCTTTCGGTCTGAAGCCTGTAGCGTCTTTGCAGGTGGACTCTGGGACCAGGCGTGGACCATGCAAGGTGGGCAGCTGTGGGGGTCCTGGGAAAGGAAGCTATGCAAGGCTTAGGTCGTGGGCTGGTGGTGACCCCCAGCTTCCTCGGGCCCCTGGTTCCCCCTGGTCAGCACCAGCAAATCACAGGGCAGGGAGAGGGAGCCTCGGCCTTGGCAGAAGGTGCTCAGGACTGTGATGGTCTCCGTGGGCCTTTTCTGCCTGCCCAAGTACCCCAGCAGTCCCCTCGTGGAGCCCCTGCTCAAACGTTTGCAGAGACCCCCGTCAGATCTGGTAGAAGCAGGACCTGGTCCAGGCACCGCTTTGGAGAAAACTAGATGTCTACCAGCTGTCACGAGGCCTTTCTGTGGCACTGGAATTTTGGTTGCAGGTATCTGGAAAACAAGCAGATGTTCTGGAGGATTTGTGAAACTTCTTTTTTTTAAGGTGCACGTAATGGGATCCAAACTTTCCTGCATTGGGTTCACTTGCTGAGACACACACATGTTCTCTCAGGTTTGCTGTGGCAAATCTTTACCTGTAGGCATTTGAAACGTGGTGTCTGGATGGAAACCGTTCAGTGTTGTCATTCAGATCCTTGGAGACTCATGTTTTAGCCCAGGGTATAAGTAATGCCTGGGCAGGGAGGGAATAGTCACGTTTGCTCTCTTTTTTTTTTTTTTAATTTTTGTTTTACTTATTTTAGTTTTTGTTCTCCTTTTTTATACCATGTTTGAATCAGAACCAGTTGCTGTTGAGTCGATTCAGACTCATGGTGTGACGTGTGTGTCAGAGCAGAACTGTGCTCCATAGGGTTTTCAATGGCTGATTTTTCCTTTCTTCCGAGGCACCTCTGGTTAGACGCGAACCTTCAACTTTGCGGTTAGCCAAGTGTGTTAACTGTTTGCAGCACCCAGGGACTCCCTACCATGTTGATAGATGCCATTGGGTTGATTCCGACTCATGTCGACCCTCTGTGACGGAGTTGATCTGCCCCATAGGGTGTTCTTGGCTGTAATCTTTATGGGGGCAGATTGCCAGGTCTTTCTAGGTTCCCAGAATCCACTTTATTGAACGGGGAGAGTGGCATTCTGTGCACAGAGCCAATGGCTCCAGTCCTGGCCTTCCCTCACTTTCTCTCCTGTGCATGGTTGTCTGTGGAGATGCCCACATTTTAAGTCTTAAATTGTCTCTGGACTGAGTATAACACCCACTTCATTGCTCTTCCCACCCCCATACGTGAAACCCACAGGGCCCCGTGTGGTATTGAGATCTAGGTGGGAAAACCGTTTAACTTCTAGTATATTTGGGGGAGGCCCATGGATCTAAGCACTTACACGTTGGTGGATCGAGACCACAAGCACCAGCTAAAATTTGCGGTTGAGAATATGCACCATATTTTCCAAACTGGATAAGTGCAGCCGCTGAGACCAGTTCTGCAGTTTGATACACTCAAGTGCAAAGATGCCTTTGTTTTTAATGAAAGAACCTACAGTTCGTTGTGAGTATTGCTTCAAGGTAGATGATTACTTGAAATTTCTGATAGAAATCCTAGATGCTAGGTCTGAGAGCATCTTGGTTTTTGGCGCATACACTTGACTTGTTTTGGCCTGTTATTAACTCCAAATAGTTTGGGATTTTTTTTCCTTTCTCCATTCCGTGGAAGTTTGTAGGGTGTTTGGCCTTTCCTTCACACCTCTTTCCTCTTTTGTATGTGGAAGAATTGTATTTTTGTACCATATCTCATACCTTGAAGAGAAATCTCTTGTATCTTCAGGGCTGTAGACTATATTAGTGAACACTTCGTTAAATGTGATGTGAAAACACCATGATGCAGGTTACTGTGGATCTAGTGTAAGTAAAACGTCGGCTTTTAAAATGTCACCCTGAAGTCAGTCAGTGTTAATTTCCCAGTGCTTCAGTATCCCCATGAATATTCTCGTTACAAAGAATAACAACTTTCTAGAACGGGAAACTGGCCAACTGTCTCTAATTGCTGGGTTTGTGTGGTTGTTTTGAGGTTGGTGTTTAGTTTTTCCTTCATTTGACATGCTGGCGAAGTAGCCACACGTTTACCGAGCCATCACTTCTGGCCATGAATACACTTTCCAATGCCAATCAGCATTAATTCCCTTTGGGTTGGTTTTCTTCCTTATTCATTTTATTTCCATGCTCCCTGCTACTTAAGATGCTCTTGACGAATGGCACCTGCCTTATCAGTTCACACCTGATCACTTCTCCCTGATGGGTTTGGAATTGGCTGACTTAACCAAAATCCGGCTTTCTCCGTCCAAACCAGCTGCCGTTGGGTTGACTCTGACTCAGGGCAACCCCATGTGTGTCAGAGTACAACTGTGCTCCATAGGTCTGAGCTTTCAGAAGTAGATCACCGGGCCTTTCTTCCAAGGCACCTCTGGGTCGATTCGAACCACCATCCTTTCAGTTGGTAGCCAAGCATTTAACTGTTTGTACCACCCAGGGACTAACCTCTCTTCATCCAATTAGTTTAAAAAGGAATCCCTACGGCTTCTAAGGTGTCAACCTCCCCCTCCACGTTTTTTTTAATTACATAATATAGCACCGTTCTGCAAAGTTCTCGTTTATGGCCATTTGAGTAGTTGGACTTTTGCTCCGCACTTGTGAATAATACAATTGTATCTTTTTTTGCAGGATGCAACACAGTACTCTTAAAATTGGGCAGCCATCAATATGATGCATAGTGTCTGGTATAAATAACTTTGTGCAGTATACTGAATTCTGTGGTTTGCTCGTCGATGATTCCTTGTTCCGTAGAAGATACCACAGTACTAGTTCTTCTCTTGTGGGGGCATAAAAAGCTGATTGCCATTTACATCATCTACTGAAAACTTGAGGCAGCTAATGTTATTATTGACCATACGTTCTAATGTCTTCTTGCAGATCTAAAGGTTTTACTGTGCTGTCAATTTAATATCTGCATGCGTATTAAATCTCTGAATACTGTGTAATTAAATTGGTTTCTCATGATGGTGACGGTGATTATCGCACATTTAAAATCCAGCAAAGCAATTATTTCCCTCTTAACTGGAAATCATGTTTGTCAGCTATGGTACCCATTTTCAACAATTCCATTCATACTTTGTGTATCTGGTTATAAATTTTATATAGCACTTAAGTTGATGCTGAATGCAAATCAATTTAATTTGAATATAGTGCTGTGTGTGTGTGATGTGTGTGTGCACCTTAATTCTGTGAGCCTTGGGAAATTGATTCTACAAATACCACATAATAGACATAAATGTGTAAGGCTTTTTTTTTTTTGGCAAAGCAATATATACACTCCTTTTATTTATTAAATCAATGGCTTTGGTGTTATGTAGAGATATTTGTAGACTGATTTCAGAACAGAATTAAAGTACTGTGAAAATTACTGCTTAATAAATGTTTATTGTAATTTTGTTGTATGGATTTCCTAAATATATTTCATCACTTCTGGCCAACTATTTGTAGAGTTTTCCCAATTCTGATATGTAACAGTGATTTTATTCCCCAACCTGGGAAGTCGTAAAATCTTGAATTTAAAGTGTTCACATGCAGGTAGGATGGGCCAGATAAAATACAGTATACCAGATTAAATTTGAGTTTCAGATAAACAGCAAATAATTTTTTAAATGTAAGTATTTCCTGTGCAATATTTGACATATTTGTTGTTAGATGCCACTGAGTCATTTCCAACTCATACCAACCCTGTGTACAACAGAACAAAAAATTGCCCAGTCTTGCACCATCCTCACAATCATTGCTGTGTTTGAGCCCATTGTTGCAGCCTCTATGTCAATCCATCTCATTGAGGGTCTTCCTCTTTTTCGCTGACCCTCTACCAAGCATGATGTCTTTCTCCAGGGACTGGTCCGTCCTGGTAACGTACAAAGCACATAAGACCAAGTCTCGCCATTCTTCCTTCTAAGGAGCATTCTGGCTATACTTCTTCCAAGACAGATTTGACGGAATGAGATACGCCAGCACAGTCCATTGGAGCAAATTAGATAAACATGACTAAAACAATCATTTTGCAAGAACACATTAAAACAAAAAGATTTGCTTTATGCATGGTGAGGTAGAGGGTCAATGAAAAAGTGGAAGACCCTCAACGAGATGGATCGACACAGCAGATGCAACAGTGGGCTCAGACAGAGCAACGACTGAAGATGGCCCAGAACTGAGCAACCTTTGTTCTGTTGTACGTAAGGTTGCTGAGTCGGAACCGACTCCATGGCATGTAACAACAAGAGGGAGGAGTCCAAGGAGCCCCGGTGGTGCAGTGGTTAAGCACTGGGCTGTTAACTGAAAGGCTGGCGGTTCAGATTCCCCCAGTGGCTCCTGGGAAGAAAAACTTGGCGATCTGCCCCTGTAGAGATTACAGCCTGGGAAACCCTATGGGACAGTTGTACTCTGTCACATGGGGTCTGCTATGAGTTGAAATTGACTTGATCACACACAACAGGGTCAGGAGGCGGATCGGAATAGGTCACGGGGGTAAAGAAAGTCAGGGCGACCAGGCCAGGCCTGGCAGTGACGCTGGGTTCTGGGCAGAGGCGGGCGAGCAGCCCAGCCCTCTGCAGGGGAGATAAGGTAACCGGGGTGGGGGAGGGGGGACAAATTCCCCCATCCAGCTGCAGTTTTAGCTTCACCAGCCTTCCTAGTCCCGTGCCAGAAGTCGCCCCTTCCTCCAGTCTCAGTGTCCATCGCTGATGCCAACGTGTGATTACTTAATCCCCAGGTGAGCTGGCTGCCGCGCCCGGTCCCCTCTGCACCTGCTTCCAATCGAGACTTCCTATACTGTATATGTGTTTTTTCCCCCTTTAAACAGCTTTACTGAGGTATAATTAACATACAACAAGCCACTCATACACTGAATGTACTTTTTTTTTTTTTCAATTAATCAAAACTTCTTTGTTTTCTTTTGGTGGAAAATTTGTCCACCCAAAGCCGCTCTTAGATGTTGACCAGTTACCGGTTGCCATTGAGTTAATTCCGACTCATGGCAACCCCACGTGTGTCAGTAGAGCTGTGCTTGAGTGTACAGTTGGATGAGTTTAGACATAGGTACACACCCATGAAAGCACAGTTCAGACGGTAAACACATCCGTCACCCTCCTCCCATCTGGGTTTCCTCCCTTTTGCCTCTCCCCACTCCCCCATCCTCAGGCAACTGCTGCTATCCTTTCTGTCCCTATGCATTCCTTTGCATTTCCTAGGGTTTTATATAAATAGAATCATACAGTATATACTCCCCCCCACACAGCGTATTTCCACTTTGGGCAGTGGGCAACAGTAATAACTATTCAAATTTAAAATGTGAGTACCCTAGGGCCTAGTAGATGATCCTACTTCTCGATCTTAACCCCAGGAAAAACAAAGAAGCAAACATCAGTAGGATGGTATATAAAGGAACTTACAATAGCACCCAGTGGAATAGCAAAACAAAGTTTTATTTGAAGACCTGAAGCCTCTACAAAAAATATGGATTAAGGAACTCCAGGAGAATTGTTCCATTTTGCTCTCCTGTGCTTTACAAAGTTGGGCTTCTTTGTTTCTGTGGCAGGGCTACAGTCCTCAGCAACTTAGCAATGCATTTGATTGGCCTCTCTTGCCCCTTG